GTATGTGTGGAGGGGAGTTGTAGTGTGTGTGTGTGTGTGTGTGTGTGTAGAGAGTAGGTGTGTGTATGTGTGTTAAAGGAGAGAGGGATTGTGTGTGAATGTCTACGTGAATCTCAATATGCCTTTGTTTGTTTACGTATATCTGTGTGTATTTATTTCGTATATATGTACATGTTTCTGTAATCATAAAAAAAAACACACACAAAGATGCACCCCTTTTAACAGGTGTCCTCTCTGGATTCCCCTCCCTAAAAGATAACAGACCGAACCATAGCCTCTTCCCTTGTGTTTCCAATGTAATGCGTACCTTGATACAGTCTCCTCTGTTGATATTCCAGCACCTGATTTCCTTGTCTCCGCCGCCCGTGTAAAGGATCTTGGCCTGGGGGTCTGTGGCCATACAGGTGATGGCGGACTTGTGTCCCTTGAACACCTGGAGGAGAAGAGGGAGGTGTATAAGCATGTGTATGTATAGTATTTTCTAAAACAATAGTTTTAAAAAAGGTAACCATATGTACATTTATATGCATAAACAGATACGTGTTTATATGTATAAATAAATACATATATACATACATATGTACATATATATACATATATATTATATATATATATAGATTATGTATATATATGTATACATATATATATATATATATATATATATATATATATATATATATATATATATATATATATATATATATATATATGCGTGTGTGTGTGTAAATATATACATATATATTTTTGTATGTTTGTGTGTGTGTGTGTGTGTGTGTGTGCACATATATAAGCATATATACAATAATATATATATATACATGCATACACACACATACCCATACACACACACACATACACACACACACATACACGCACGCACACACACACACACACACACACACACACACACACACACACACACACACACACACACACACACACACACACACACATATATATATACATATATATGTCTATATATGCATATATATGGACATATATAAAGACCTTGCCCCGACCCACCTTGAGGCAGTCTCCCGTGTCGAAGGACCAGGAGCGCGCCGTGGCGTCCGCACTGCCCGTGATGATTAGGTCCCCAGGGTTGATGTTAATCCCTTCGCTGTCCTCTGGCACCGTGTCCACCGCCGGGATGTAGATGATGGGGTACACTCCCCTGTGGTGCCCCTGGGGAGGATAGGAGGCGACTCAGCACGCGCGCGAAGCAACAGCGCTGAGTTCTTCCCTGACTAAAAGACTTTAGTCAGGGAAGAAAAAATGGGTAAAGGAAAGTTTCTAAAGCACAGTCTATTTGGAGGAATCGACTGTTTAATAAAGAAAACGAAAGAATGAAATCGGCACAGGGTATTGCTTGTTGAAAGTAGGCCACGCTTTGAATCACACGACCATCAATGCAAGGGTGTCTGAACGTTACCGTGAAGGTCCTGATGGCTGCTGTCTCTCCGATGTCCGCGTCTTCAGCATCGAAGAGCCAGGCCTTCGCTGTCTTATCGTAGGAGGTGCTGAAGATGAACTCGTCGGTGCAGATCACTCTTGCTATGCGCGACGTGTGGTCTGTGAAGGAAGGGACGTGGTGTCATTATCATCAACATTAAACAATCGTCAACACGTATGAGACCTTATGATAATGGGTTTTCCGTTTGCGCTGTTGTGTATGTGTAAGGATAGGCATAGGTTAGATAAACATCTTTCGGATATATTAGGTGTAATAAAATACGTAGTATACGCACCTGAATACACATGGAGGCAGTCGCAGGTGGTCATGTCCCACTTCCTGAGGGTATTGTCAGCCGCGCCCGTGATGATGTAGGCGTTGGTGATGGCTACGCATGTGATGTACGAAGTGTGACCCCTTGGGAGACAAAGTGGGGTTTTATTTACTTTACCGTCATCATAATGCTTTCGCTTATGGTGCAAAAGAGAAGTCGATATATGGAACTAGGATACATGAACAATGCGAAACACACACACACACAACACACACACACACACACACACACACACACACACACACACACACACACACACACACACACACAGGGCATCCACAAGAACTAAATCTATACTCCCTACACCACGCGCTTCAGCCCTATTAGAACACAGCATACACTCAAAAACACACAAAATACAAATAAAGAAGACAACAGTGAAACAAAACTCCGGACTTCCCTCTACCCTCCCCTCCTCCCCCAATTCGGAACCAAAACAAGCAAACAAAAACGTAAACAAATAATGAAAACCCACAAGCACTTACTTCAGGACACCGAGGCACTCTGTTTCGTCCGTCTTCGTGCTCCACATCCTCGCCGTCTTGTCCTCCGACCCTGTGACCAGCAAGGAGCCATCTTCGGACAGTGCCACGCAGTTGATGGCATCCTCGTGGTCGCACAGTGTCTCCAGAAGGTGAGACTCATTCTCCTTGCTGCCTCCACCTCCCATGCTGGAAGTTCGGTTGTCGAGGCCCTTGTCTGTTTACTCTTTCCTGTGGCAGATTGGATAGACAGATGGATAGATTGGATTAGAGGGTATAATGGGCAGGTAGATAGGATGGATAGGAATGTAGAATGGATAGATGGATAGATAGATAGAACAGAGAGGTAGATGGAATGGATATGTATGTATAAAATGCATAGGTGGATAGAATGGAGAGGTAGATAAATAGATAGAGAGAGAGAGATAAAATATATAGACAAATAAACATATAGAGATCAATGGACAGGATGGACAAACAGATAGATGAAAAAAAAAATATTATTAGAAAGAATGAATCGATTGATAGATATAATGGAATGATTCATCTTAGCATGGACAGATAATAAGATAAACCAAACGAACAGATAGATAAAACAATAAGAACATAAAAAAAATATCATAGGAATAACTCATGGTTTCCAATTACTCTTTTATCCGAAGAACTTGTCCAGTAATTAATCATAGTTGGTTTTAATTACTGTGTGAGAGTTCATGAATAATTTGTCCTTAAGAGCAAGGAGAGACAAGGAGAAAAAATATATAATTAAAGAGAGCAAGCAAATTGTCTTAGAAGGCTGAAAAAAGCTGGAGAACGTTAGTGCATGTGCCAATGGATGACAAAGGCCATTATAGTGTGAATGTGTCATTGGGTAGTTTAACGACTAAGACAAAACTATTCGGAAATTATTAGTGTAGATATACTGTTACTCTTTTATCCCAATTGTCTTTCAGTTTGTTTATTGGATTTGCTTTCCATCTCATCTTGGTCCAGATTTCACATACGCATACAAGCATACAATATGTAGGTATACACACGTAAATACTTATGTGTGTGTGTGTGTGTTCTTGCGTGTGTGTGTGTGTGTGTGTGTGTGTGTGTTTGTGTGTTTGTGTGTGTGTGTGTGTGTGTGTGTGTGTGTGTGTGTGTGTGTGTGTGTGTGTGTGTCTGTGTGTGTGTGTGCATATATATGTATATATATGATATATATGTTTATATTTATCTACATATATATTTATATATACATATATATTTATGTGTATGCATATATACATATATACATATATATATATACATATAGAAATATAGATATATTTACAAACACACACACATATTAATATGTGTGTACGTATATATACATATATATAAATGTATATGTATCTATATATATGAATATATATGGATATATATATCATATATGTATATATATGTATATATATATGGACATATATATATATGTGTGTGTGTGTGTGTGTGTGTGTGTGTGTGTGTGTGTGTGTGTGTGTGTGTGTGTGTTTGTGTGTGTGTATGTGTATATATACAGTATACTAATCTATTCATTTACTTATATATTATTTTTTATTTATCTATCTGTTTAATTTCCAGTCTATTTATCTGTCGATACCGACATCATGACATTGTTTATTGAATCTTTATCTATCTACCTATATACCTACATACCTATTTATTATATCTATAACATATCTATTAATTTATCTATATGACTCCTGAATAACAACTAGACAAACCTTTGTATAAGAATTTTAAAATGTGCAATATACCTAACACTTCCTCACTTCCTTAAAACACATATGGAACTGAACCCAAGATTGTACACGAAAAGTTTTATGGAACGTCTCGGCAACTCCTCCATAACGTCTCCCCCCCCCCTTTAGTCGCCATAGCGCTGTTGCTGTGGCTCCCAAACAGAGTTGCCCCGGCAATGGCGACGTGGAGGTGAGGGTTAGACGGTTGGCGGGGAGGGAGAGGGGAAACACCCGATCAAATTGAGGGGAAATATTGTTAACAAGGCTTGAAAGTTTTCTATGCCTTTTTTTGGCGATCTGTATGCCTGTTCTATGTCTTTTCGTGACTTTGTGTCTATGATTTTTTTTCCTCAATTTGTAAATCGAAGTTATATGTCTATTCGCGACCTGTATATATCCACGTTATATACCTTTATATACCGAAGTTTTGTCTTTTCGAAGCCTGTATTTCTGGGGGGGGGGGGTTCGATACCTGTATACCTATGACAAAGAAAGAGATATATTGCAGATTGAGAAGTTTCGCAAAAAAAACCTATAACTATATTATTAATGTAACGAAGAAAGGAGGCGATCGCTATCTAAACTGAAGAATATAAAAAACAAAGAGAATTTCCTACGATCCCATCATCAGAGTGCCTCGTAACAAGGGGTTTGGGTGAAGGTAGTTATTGGCTGTCAGCACGCACGGTTCGAATGCAGAAGTTCATTTTCCTGGAATACTTTGCGTTTCTTGATTTCGTTTGATGAAGAACATTTATGTCGTGTTTTAAAATGAAGGAGAATAAGAAGAAGACGAAAACTAAAGAACGAAAGAAGGAAACAAAAGAAGAAGAGGAGGAGGAGGAGGAGGAGGAAGAGGAAGAAAGAGAAGAAGAAAGTCGAAGGAAAACTCATCTAAGATATTTACAAAGGCAGTAGAAACACCCACATACATATGAAGAGAAATATATAAGTGACGTATGTGCGATCGATAGCCCAGACACGCACGTGAGAAACTATAACAGTTGTGGCACCGATCTCTCCCGAATTCTTTCCTCCAAGTTTATGGCGTTTTGACCACTTAACGTACACTTGTAAAAATGTATTCTCGGCCTCCACTCCTCTCCTAAGTATGAGCTTTGTATATCGACACATTTTCACTAATATCCTCGGTTCTCTCACGCACATTTCCTTGCATTTCCTTTTTACTCGGTCAAATATTTGGGCAACATTGGATGTGTGAAGCCAAGAGCGCCCATTGGTGTTTTTAGACCAATTGCCTGAAAATGTGCTTTGTTAATGATTTGTTAGTTTAAATTCGTGTCTATAACATAAAAGTTAACTCCTGAAGTAAATGTTAAAGTCTCGTTATTGTAGTGCATTAACTTGAACATAACGATGCTTCTATTGTAGGTGAAAGCTCAAACTTACAAAGCATTTAATAGACGTATTTTCGAGAAGTCGATCTGAGAATACCATCTAATGTACATGCCCTCACATGATAGTTTAAACGCTGCTTTTCCCTTAATGCCTCTTGCAAAATTTTAGAAAGTTCATGGACCATTTACCTGCCATACATGAAAATAACTCCTCTATCATCATTGCAAACATTCAAGTGTCATGTTCGGAAGGATGGTTGCTAGTAATCCCCACGTTCCTGCTACTAAATTCACAACATACCTTTTCATAGAGCCCTTATGACCTATATTTTGTACACGGTGAAATACCTGGACATATGAGAAACACTGTTGAAGGTGTTCGAAAATATTTTCCACAGGATCCGCACATGAGCTATCTCAACCACAAGTATGTCAAGTAGATCTTATAAATACTTTTGTTAAACGCAAAAGTTATCAAGCATACCTTACGGAAACATTTACCAAACGCAAAACGAAAATTTGAAAGAAACGTAACTGTAACTGAGAGTAAACCCGACTAAGAAGTTATTAATTGTACCATATGGACATCATCAAAAGAAAAACGAAAATAACAGAAACGGCCGTGAAACTAACAAAACAGAGGAAGTCTTTATACCAATCCTTCTCTACTGAATCAGTATATCTATTTGTAAACAAAACTGTGTGATAAGTACCTCCTTTTCGCTCCAAATACGAAGCGACGCTACATTCCTCTGGACCCAAGGTACCTTCTGAGTCCCGAATTACCATGGTGACCCGTGTGTGTGTTTGCGTGCGGGTGTGGCGGTGGTTATGTTGGTTTGTGCTGTGCGTTTATGTGTACATTCGAGATTAGGTTTGTGTAGGGGGGAAGGGGAAGTGTATGTGTGTGTGTGTGTGTGTGTGTGTGTGTGTGTGTGTGTGTGTGTGTGTGTGTGTGTGTGTGTGTGTGTGTGTGTGTGTGATTCATATCGAAGAAATTGAAAGTAGAACAACGAAGGGAAGTACAGGAAGACACACGAATATGCCGAAGGCCTTTTCACATTTATTGGCAGGGTCTGATGAAGCAATAAATGCGAAAAAGGCCTTCGTCATATTCGCATATTTTCCTGCACTTCCCTTCGTTGTTCTACTTGCAGTATGTGTGTGTGTGTGTCTACGTGTGTGTGTGTGTGTGTCTACGTGGGTGTGTGTGTCTACGTGTGTGTGTGTGTGTCTACGTGTGTGTATGTGTGTGTGTGTGTGTGTGTGTGTGTGTGTGTGTGTGTGTGTGTGTGTGTGTGTGTGTGTGTGTGTGTGTGTGTGTGTCTCCACTATAGATTTAGAAGACCTCTTATGTTGACAATGTCTTAACACATTTTTCAGTAAAGCCAAACTGTTAATTAGTGTTTCAACTGATCCGCTGTCTTGCAGGTTGTATAATTGTATTTTGTCTTGGCTATCAAAATTAGTGCAAACTGCAGCACACGTTTTCTGTTTGAACATGCAATCACGTAAACACAGATACATCCGTGCACTAATACATAAACTTGTGTATATATCAATATATATATATATATATATATGTATATATATATATATATATATATATATATATGTGTGTGTGTGTGTGTGTGTGTGTGTGTGTGTGTGTGTGTGTGTGTGTGTGTGTGTGTGTGTGTGTGTATGTATACATATATACATATATATTGTTTATATATATATACATATATATCTATATCTATACCTATCTATCTATCTATATATACATATATATATATATATATATATATATATATATATATATATATATATGTATACTTTTATGTACACAGGTACATTATCATATATATATATGTGTGTATATATATATATGTGTGTGTGTGTGTGTCTGTGTGTGTGTGCGTGTGCGTGCATGTGTGTGTGTGTGTGTGTGTGTGTGTGTGTGTGTGTGTGTGTGTGTGTGTGTGTGTGTTTACTGTCAAATCTATCCACCCTTCAACACTTTCATCCCAAGTTACAAAACTGAATTTAAATATCCAAATAAATACTAACAACAACAAAAAAAATCAATGAACAAGTTCCCCTATCCCTAAAATACTACCATCTG